ACGTGGAAGGGGAATTCCTAAAAACTCACAACATTGCACAAACCAAGGATATTTTCAGCAGATTCTCATTTGTATCGCTGTCATGGTCAAAGGAAGGAATTGAAACTGCCTCCAATCTAATGTCTTTAGATTGGATAAAGAAACCAGAATTTGAAAGTTACTTAATTCAGCAAGAAGAACCATTATTTGTGACTATCAAGACCTTCATTTTGTCCATCATCTCCATGAAAATTGGCAAGGTGTACTTCTTTGTTTGATAGTTAGAACTACAACCGCAACTTAACAGGTGCTTTGATGTCGTACCAACTGGACGAGAATGTTTCATCTACAAATTATGTCCCATTTTTAGTGAGATGATAAGGACAGAAAAAAAAAAAATACCAAGTATATTTTAGAACATGTATTAGAAATAGAGATAAACAACCTGTGGAGATTGACAAGAGACGGGCGTTAACTGGGTGCAGAGTTTGTTCCAACCACCACTCAGGAAAATTGTTTCCACTTATCTCTATGAATAGTCTTTTTCTCTTCTCTATTGGCTCCAACATGCTTTGATGGATAATCAGATCTCTGAGAAGGTCATGTTGCATGACAAAATGATCATTGTAGCAGCCATTATGACTAGCAGTATTCCTGTGAATAAACGAAAATGGAGTGCTCAGAGAAAAGATACAAACTCTACACACATAAAGGTAGATGCCTGTATGATAGAACAAATAATTGGTAGCACAATAGAGAATTCATCACCCTTTATTTTCATTTGCATCAATTGAGATCAGACATCCATAAAACAATTCACAAAACGCTAAAATTTACTAGTTGTTCTCACAACTTCTTGTTTACTTTACTTCTTTTCTGTCCTGTAAAAATGAATAGAGAAGGGCATTTAATTATATCACAGAGCTCTATATAGCCAGCATACCTTGTGACCGCCAGATTAACCAAATTTCGATTGGAGAGATCATTGAGGTTTGCAATGGCATAACGACCTTCGACCAGTTTATACAATTCCATCCACATGTCAATTAGGGCAGTGACAGGAATTCTTTGGTCCTCAGGAAATGAACCAAGGTCCATGTAACACTCCTTGATTTTATTATCTAGGGCATCCAAGCTGCTTTGGAGAGGAACAAGTAGATCAGTGTTAGAATAGAAAATAGTTGCATCTTGAGTCCATTCCTTCACTCTTATTTGCCAGACTTCCTCAGGCTGCCCACAGAGTGATCTGCCAACTACAGTAAGGGCCAGTGGAGATCCCTTACAGGCTCTCACTATCTGAAATTGATTCAAAACAGGTAAAAATAATCGAACTAGAGAGCAATGGTCTCATTTGTCACTATATGTTGGCAAATGATGAAAAAGAGTGAAACAGGCATAAAGGCATACAATCATTTACTAAACATGATTTGGTAGGATAAGAAATGTATTCATATGCACTATATGCATGCTACACAAGAAAACAGGAAATAAACTGAAGACAAATACATATGTGCATGTTTATAACTACAAACTTCACAGAGCACCTGATAGGCAAGATTTTGATCTGGAATGTACAAGGTCCCATCTGGCAGCATTGCTGAATGGTTAAAAAGAGTCATTGAATCTTCTTCATTCAGTGGTTTCAAATTATGTCCAGGACCAAATTGCGGGAATACAAATCTTGATGTCACCAAAATCTTGTAATCAGGCAATTGGAACTTCAAGTTTTGCATCATGGTTTCTGATCCAGACCAGACATCATCAAGGACCAACAATATAGGCTGTGACTGTATTTGGTTCAGCAATCGTCCCAATTCATTAAATGCGTCTTCATCAGTCAGAAGCTCAGGCACCTCGCAATCCTTATGTTTAAATATTTTCTGTACAATCACCTTCACATTGGGCGTTTTAGACACAGTGACAAAGAATATGTTGTTCTGGAATTTTCCTGTTCAAGTAACATGTGATAGAAGCTTTAAGATTGTTAACTGTCACTTGTACTGTTCTACATAAGGAAAACTGTACAAAATAGCATATTCATATCATATAATTTATCTAATCTGCACATACATAAAGCAACAAAGAAATGAAATTGCTTCATTACTTTCCTAAACACAATCACTAATGATTCGAACAATTATCAAGCACAATCCCATCTGCCAATCATGTTTGAGTCCACTAGTAAAATTGGTAACTTAATTAATTTACTAAATAACATAAAAAGAAAGCAAGTAATTGCAATTGATACCTTTGACTTTATCATCTTTGCAAAGTTTTTTAACCAATGTAGTCTTCCCAGATCCTCCAGGAGCTGACACCACAGTCACTTGCATGCCCTTCTTAAGCAAATCCATCTTTAACTCCTCCAATTGAACATCCAGGCCAGGGGCAATCTGCGGAGGATCAGGCACTGAGCAAGCTCCAATAATTTTAAACGGTTTAAACCCACTTGCGTTTTCTTTACCGTCGGGTCTCTTGAAGATGCTATGCATTTCATTGACTTTCACAAGTGTTTCTTTGGTGTCCCTTAAATGTTGTGCTACCATATCAACCTGAAAGAAACTGGCTATTGAGGTATCCAGTTTCTGGAGTTTGTAAGCGTAAAAGATTCTTTTAAAGCAATTCAACCTTATTGTTGAGCATTTGCGGCACAAGTTGCTCACCTTGTTCCAATTTCCTAATGAACTTACCAGTTTCATGCCTTGGCCGATCCAAATCTCTGTTCAACTTCTCAATTTCTTTGACGATAGGAGTTACAGACTCTAAAGTGGAGTTCAGTTGCTTCAATAGGGACTTGAACATCCATGCTTTAATACTTGCCTCAACAACTGCTTGTAATAGCTCTCCGAACACTGCTCCAAAGGCAGCTCCTCCAACGTCCGGCATCACTTTCTCTTGAACGAAAACACAAATCTAAATTCTAGGAAACGAACAAATTTCAGTCTAAATTTTGGAAGAAATTAAGAATGAGTCCTCTCCTCTGCTTTTGTCAATGAAACACAAATAGAAGAATCAACGAATACAAGTATACAACCACTTAAACGCCACTTTGCTTCTTCATATCAACGTGAGGGAATCGTATTTTTAATTTAGCGCGTAGGCAGTAGCTGACTCAGCTTCCGTTATAACATTTGGAACTTGACTTGACCAGCAGACCAGGTCTCATTTTTGCCTTATTTTAGAATTTTCAGAATGTTTTTAACTTTTTTTAATTAAAATTTAAAAAAAAAAAAGTAGAATATTAATTTTTACTGCTTAATAATCAATTAATCAAATAACTAAATTTGCAAATTTTAGGTTTAGATCTTTTTAAGAAAATGTATATAATTAAATATTAAATAATTCTTTTTCTATAAAATTATAATATTTTATTAACAATTTAGTTTCATCTCATTTAGTTTTTATTTATATTGAAATAAATTTCAATTATCACTACAATATCAATTTAATTCTCATTTCAAACTTTATTATATTTGCCTTGTTTTTACGTGTATTCAAATTAGTTTAGAATTATTGCTTCTTTAAATTTGCTTCGTTAATTATATATAATTGGTTTGATTGAATTTTTATTGAATATATGTTATAAGATAATGTTGACTATATCATTCAACATGTTATTATTAATAGTTCTTCCTATTTGTTTTTCAGTTAAAAAAAAAAAGATTTTTTTTTAAATCCATGAATTAATCTATAAAACAAAACTAAATGCGATAATATATAAATTGATTTTTAAATTAATGTTTATAATAATTGGAAATTAAAAATATTATTGTGGATTAACAATAGATGCATCTGAACATGAATCACTTTCATTGACTTCGCTAATCAAATGTATTTTAATATTTTTGTTATTCCCTCTTAATGAACAACAACAATCCACTTTCCTTTGCCAAATAAAACGAAACAATAAAATATAATAAATATATTTGATTTACCCAAAAAAACAAAACAAACAAAAAGAGAATAATTTATACATAAAAAAACTTGTTTGATTAACTTTATTTTGCCAATTTCTTTTCAATCATTCTTGATGTGGAATCTATGCCGAAGCAATCCCAATTTCGCCGACTCTTATTGATATAGATGTGTTACACAAGTTTGCTTCGTCCCCAGTCCAAAGAAATTGATCTTTCAAAAGTGAAAGTTTTTTTTTTTTTTTTTTTTTTTTTTTGGTAACCAGAGTGTCCGAACCAGTTTACAATCACCTCTCAATCTCCGGAGTCCATTGAACACCTTATAAGTCAAAAAAACTAGGTAAGTCACAATATTATCGTGACAAGTAACTCTAAGGTTTGAACCAAAAACTCAAGAAAGAAAATAAAACTCCTTGACTACGCCAACCCTTTGGGGTTAAAGTGAAAGCTTTCATTACTTATGTTTATGAGAATCCCCTGTTTTTTACATTATTTCTCCAAAGATGCAATTGTCGATTGCAATTGTCACATCTTTATATATGAAATTTTTATATTAACATCTTTGTGTTATATTATTGTAAATGTTATATTAATGAGAAGATAGATTACTTTAAAAATTATTGGGAATGTTGTATTAAATATGTTAGATTAGATTGGAACAAAATTATGGGTAAAATTGTAACAAAATTGTTTGATTAAAAAACCTTATTTTATTATTTGATTAATTTAGGGTAAAATAGTAACAAAATTAAGATTATTAAATAATCTTAGAAAATCTACGAAAATAGTAGTATTCAGATTACTGTCTATATAATCTATAATAATTATTATTAGTATTGAAAGATTACCAAAATTGTTTATTACTTAAGAACCATATATGATAATATCAATAATATAAAATGACATTACTGGATTAAGGACCCATTATCCTAACCAAAGACACCCTAAAAATTAGCCACTGCAATTCACCACTTACTGTTAGAATTGATAAATATTATTATTCCTTCAAAACCATAATGGGCTTTCTATCCCGGGCTCAACCAAAGCCCATTTACATCCTCCTAAACATCACAACCAGGTGAAATTTTTTGTTGGCAGCCACTTTAAACCATGAAACCAGGGAAGTTCAGAACCTCAAACACTTGTAATCTGTTTCAACTTAACAAAACTACTTTCTGCTCTTATTCTTCTCAATCTAACCGTCATAAACCTGTTAATCAAAAGTCCTTTTTCAAATTTAACACCAATGACAGTCTCATAACCAGCTTATGCAAAGACAACAAATTCAAAGAAGCGTTAGACATTTTATGCAACCAAAAACGCTTGAAAGAAGCAATTCATGTCCTCCATCAAATCAACCAGCCCTCTGCTTCAATCTATTCCACTCTCATCCAATTTTGCCGCCAAAATTACGCTCTCGAAGAGGGCAAAAGAGTCCATGCACACTTAAAAGCTTCCGGGTTTAAGCCCGGTGTCTTCATATCTAACCGTTTGCTAGATATGTACGCGAAATGTGAGAGTTTAATTGATGCCCAGAAAGTTTTTGATGAAATGAATGAAAGAGATCTTTGCTCGTATAACACTATGATATCCGGTTATGCGAAAGTGGGGTTTCTTGAACAAGCAAGAAAATTTTTCGATGAAATGCCTCAAAGAGACAATTTTTCTTGGACTGCAATGATTTCGGGGTATGTACGTTATAATCAGACAATAGAGGCTTTAGAGTTGTATAGAAGCATGCAAAGAAGTGAAAGTTCGGTGTCGAATAAGTTTACCGTGTCTAGTGCATTGGCAGCAGTGTCAGCTATTCACTGTTTACGTTTAGGTAAAGAGATTCATGGTTATATAATGCGAACTGGGTTGGATTCAGATGAGATAGTTTGGAGTGCTTTGTCTGATATGTATGGAAAATGCGGGAGTATAAATGAAGCGAGGCACATTTTTGATGGAATGTTGGATAGAGACGTAGTTTCATGGACAGCTATGATTGGGAGATATTTTGAAGAAGGGAGGAGAGAAGAAGGGTTTGCTTTGTTTTGTGAGTTGATGAAATCAAGGAGTAGGCCTAATGAGTTTACTTTTGCCGGGGTTTTGAATGCGTGTGCTGATCATGCAGCAGAGGAACTTGGAAAACAAGTTCATGGGTATATGACGAGAATAGGATTTGATCCTTACAGTTTTGCAGCTAGTGCGCTTGTTCATATGTACTCTAAGTGTGGAAATGTTGAAAATGCGAAAAGAGTATTTAATGAGATCCCTAGACCAGATTTAGTTTCCTGGACTTCATTGATTGCTGGATATGCTCAAAATGGTCTGCCTGATAAGGCTTTGGAGTACTTTGAGTTGTTACTTAAATCAGGTACTCAGCCTGATCATATTGTCTTTGTTGGAGTTCTTACAGCCTGTACTCACGCTGGTTTGGTTGATAAAGGGCTTGAGTATTTCCACTCAATAAAGGAGAAACATGGGCTAACACATACTGCTGATCATTATGCTTGTATTATTGATCTATTGGCAAGGTCTGGTCGGTTTAAGGAGGCTGAGGGCATCATTTCTAAAATGCCAATGAAACCAGATAAATTTTTGTGGGCTTCCTTGCTTGGTGGTTGCAGAATTCATGGAAACCTTGAACTGGCTAAACAAGCAGCAGAAGCATTATTTGAGATTGAGCCTGAGAATCCAGCCACTTACATTACTGTGGCCAACATTTATGCCGCTGCTGGCATGTGGAAAGAAGTTTCAAAAATCAGAAAGATAATGGATGACAAAGGCGTTGTAAAGAAACCAGGTTTGAGTTGGATAGAGGTCAAGAGAGAGGTGCATGTGTTCTTAGTGGGAGATACATCTCATCCGAAGTCCAAGGAAATTCATGAGTTTTTGGGCAAGCTTTCAAGAAGAATGAGGGAAGAAGGGTATATTCCTGATACCAATTTTGTGTTGCATGATGTGGAGGAGGAGCAGAAGGAGCAAAATCTCTCGTACCACAGTGAGAAGCTTGCAGTTGCTTTTGGGATTATTGCTACTCCCCCGGGAAAAACAATCAAAGTATTTAAGAATTTAAGAACTTGTGTAGATTGCCACAATGCCATCAAGTTTATCTCAAAGATTGTTAAGAGAAAAATAATTGTGAGGGATTCAAATCGGTTCCATAGTTTTGAGGATGGGAATTGTTCTTGTAGTGATTATTGGTGATTTAAACCTTCTGAAAATCCAGCAAGTATATTTCTTTTGCTTTGACACTCCAACCATTTTCAGCACGACTGTCAGAAAAGATTGAACTCACTTGGAGATTTCTGTCCTCTTCAATGTCACTCAGGATGATTAATTGGTGACCCAGGTGTGGGGAAAGGGCTATGATCATCAGATTAATTCAGTCTTTTCAAGTTTGTCATAGATTAAAAGAGGAAGTTGCTGGTATTTCAAGTTAAGAAGCTATAAACAATGGGATGTTGGAGTGTGGAACCCTTAGCTGCTTTGGATTTAAGGCTATAATATCTTTTGGGAGAAAAAGACGAGACAATTGAACAGAAGTTGATTAAGATGACGGGTTACTGTTAGCCTTTAGTAACTTGCTGTGGTTCCTCTGGCCATTGCAATATGATAAACTGATTGGTGGTCATTATTTGATTATATTGTAATATCAAATCTCTTACCCTGCTTGTTTCACTCTTTTTAATTGTCCTACTTTGATTACAAAACAAAATATGTGTTTGTTTACTTGGGATCATTATTTTAAAAATCAATCACCGTCAAATAAGATTTTTTTCATTGAAAATGAAAAGTGGGTTGGACTTGTTTTCTATTATCTTATTTTAATATTTTTTTTAATTCTATTCAACTAAAAATAATTACATTTTACAATAAAAGTTTATAAATTAATAAAAATATCATACCCACACAAGCCATTGTTGACCCCTAGCAACCACCACCAGCCGTCGTCGCTACCATCGGTGATCGTCGGTATTGAAACGATGCACAATCGGTCAAACTTGACTAGTCGTGCGTCGATCTAGTTTTTTCTGGCCAAATTTACGACTAAAGATTTAGTCGTTGACGACCATATTTTGGCCATTAACGACAACCAAATTCTAGTTATAGATCTAGCCGTTTTTTGCACGATTGGCGTACAATTGACCAAGTCCAACAAATCGTGTGCAATTTGGTTTTGGTGGATGAATGTTTTTGTTAATTTATAAACTTTTATTGTTAGAGGTGTTTAGCTAAATTAACAAATATAGGGGATTAAAAATAATCTAAATATTTTCAGAAAATGTTTTTAAAAAATGTATCAAACAACTATTTTAATTTTTATCCAACTTAAATATAATTTTTACACATTATACCAAATACAATCTCATAATCTTATCCTATTTAATTTAATCATATCCTATTTATTCAGATAATTTTTCAAAATAACATTTTTTCAAATAACTTACCAAATAATTTTTTAAAAATAAAGTATACACCAAGAAAAGATGATGGAGGATATCAGTTTCATTTGCTCTACTCAGCTGGATGTTTTTAATTAATTAAGCTGGAATTGCGCACGACCATGTATGATTTAGCCGAATCGCACCTAGTTGAGTGCGATTTTAGCCAACTGTTTTTTTTTTTTTCAGTTTTTGATTTTTTTTTTTTTTCAAATTTTTATGGGCCTTTTTCATTTGTGATTCAAAAATAATTTTCAAAAACTAAATTATGATTCAAATTTTAGTTGTATTTTAACATTTGAAAAATGTGTCTAATATAAAATTTAAAAACTGTTTTCAGATTAAAAGCGGTAGAAGACTATGAAAATGACTTTTAATGTTTTTTAATTTTACACTAGTTTTTAGGTTTGTATTGGAAAACTATTTTTGAAAAACAATTCTAATCATTTTTACCAAATGCATTTTCATAAGATTTATTGTATCTCCTATTAATAAAAAAATGTATTTAAATCCTTTATTAATTGGGTCCTATATATATATATATTTTCGGAATTTTTTGTTTTCTTATTTACAATTTTTCAGTTTTTTTTCCTCTTTTAGAAATTATGTTTTTATATAATTTCATAAAATATATAATATATGAAATATGAAATATTGTTTTGTAGTTTTATAATTTTTAGATATTATTATAAATGTAAAGGTTTTTTTATTTTTTTTATGGAAACACATATGCTTTAAGTGAAACCTCCATTTTATAAAAGGGAAATGTTAGAGGTACAAAGACTCTTACAAAAAGTCTTTGTACAAAGTAATGTGACAGCTGTCACACCACTAGTTTATGAAAAAAAAAGTGTTATATCACTTTATACAAAAACTCTTTGTAAGACTCTTTGTACCTATAATATTTCTCTTTATAGAAATTGAAGATAGGGGTTTAAGTGGTTAATTCCTAAGTTGGTGAAGACAATTGTTCGTTTGTTTGTATTTTAGGGGTATAATCGACATTAATCCTATAATATATACTGTGTGAACCGTTTCACCGTTAATTTTAACGATGGGGTAAGTAAATGTTCTTCTCAATGATTGCTGGTGAGAAAATGTAGATTCCTCAAACTTGGGTGGGAAATATCATTCAACCTATATTTTGTTTACTTTGCTTTCACTTTGTCACAACTGTCATAATCTCAATAGTAACTCAAATTTTTATTGTAATAAAGTTTTCAATATTACTTTAAATTAATTTAGTGACACAATTCATACTTTTCGTTTGTTTTCACAATTTTATTAGTTGCAAAAGTGTGTATAACTCCTCCAAAGGCACATCCAGGCCAGGGGTCTCCGGAGGATCAGGCACTGAGCAAGCTCCAATAATTTTAAACCCACTTGCGTTTTCTTTACCGTCGAGTCTCTTGACGATGCTATGCATTTCATTGACTTCACAAGTGTCTCTTGCCTGTTGTGCGACCATATCAACCTGACTATTGAGGTATCCAGTTTCTGGAGTTTGTGAGCGTAAACGATTCTTTTAAAGCAATTCAACCTTACTGTTGAGCATTTGCGGCACAAGTTGCTCGCCTTGTTCCAATTTCCTAATGAACTTGTCGGTTTCATGATGTCGTGCGGGAAATTCAGATTAGTTTATATATTTGTTTTGTTTTTAGGTGTATTCAAATTAGTTCACAATTATTGTTTTTTTAAATTTACAATTATTAATTTAATTCTCTTTTCAAACATTATTATATTGTTTTGTTTTAATGTGTATTCAAATTGGGAAAAGCGGCAGAAGCCATGGACATGTAATCCCATACGACACTGGAACCACCCACCTCATTGCTCTTTGTAAATTACAAGCAACTTTTTCTCAGAATATATACATGAAACTAGCTTCGTTTAATTTCTCTTTTAAAAATTAAGTGGACAATACCCTAGTCGATCCAGAACTTCTGGTTTAGATTATCACTTGAACAGCAACATCAAGTACAGAAGAGATACACACTACTTCCCCATGAAATTTTTTCTATCACTTCCATTCTAACATAATTACAAGTCAATAGAGCGTATAGTTTTATTTGTTCAAGGACAAAATCTGAACAGAGATAATGCAAAAATGACTTAAGAGAGACTACAAGCTCACACAAATCTTTAGTGAATCAGGAGCAAATATATACAAGATTTTGTAATAGAAATACTTTAACAAACTTGCTAAAAAAACTGAACATGACTCCACTAACAGCTTATCCACTATTGAAATAACATACTCCTAAAAACAAGCACATGACTAGCACTATTTCAAAGACTTAACTCTGGAAACGCACACCTTTAACAACTTTCAACACCAAATCAGCAACAACACATTAGCAGCAATCCTTGACCAAATCAGCTGCTGAGCCATATTCTCAACAGAGCGTGAGGATTGCTTGAAATTTCTGACAAATGTTACTTGTAAAGCCAATTTAAGTTTATATCTTCTTTAGGCACTTCTATTGTCAGATATGTGAAACAGGCCTCTAGTTCTTCCCATTTATAAGCTGTCTCTTCATCGCATCGCACAACCTCCAAATTCTTAAGCTTCGTAATTGATGTGGGTAGATCACAACTACAGCAGCCTCTCATGCAAAGTTTTTCTAATCTGTATAACTGACCAATCTGTGCTGGCAATTCTGTGATGCTTAGGCATTCAGATATATCAAGAAGTCTTAAATTGGCTAGGTCCCCAATTGTGTCTGGCAATGCTTCGAGATCAGTACAAGAAGCAAGCCTTAGCACCTGTAAGTTTACCAGCTTGCCAATCCCTTCCGGCAGTTGGGACAGCTTATGACAATTGGTGATGCTGAGATTTTCTAGGGAGACAATATCACATACCCCATCAGGCAGTGCCTCTAGATCATTGCAATAGTCAATGTCCATCTCCTTCAAATTTGGAAATGCATCTGAAATTTGGAAGGTAGAATTACTAAAAACCTGACCCACATTGCATAAAACCAAGGATAACTTCTGCAGATTCTTCATTTGTATCGTTGTCATGTCAAAGGAAATTGAAACTCGCTCCAATCTAATTCTCTTTAGATTTGACAAAGAACCAAGAAGTTGAAAGTTACTTAATTCAACAGGAAGGAATCCGCAACTTGTGACTATCAAGACCTTCAATTTTTCCATCTTCTCCATAAAATCTGGCATGGCGTACTCCTTTGTTCGAACATTTAGAACTACAACTTCAACTGCAGGTGCTTTGATGTCATACCAACCGGATGAGAATGTTTCATCTGCGAATTATGTCCAACTTAGTAATGAGCAGAACAAATAAAAATAAAAACATTTAAGAAGGTGTGTTAGAAATGAAAACCTGTGGAGATTGACAAGAGACGGGCATTAACTGGGTGCAGATTCTGTTCCAACCACCACGGAGGAAAATTGTTTCCACTTATCTCTATGAATAGTCTTTTCATCTTTTCTACTGGTTCTAATAAGCTTTGATGGATAATTAGCTCTCTGAGAAGATCATGGTGTATAACAAAGTGATCATTGTAGGAGCCATCATCACTGCCATTTTTCCGGTTGAATAGACATAAATTGATTAGTCAGGATCAGATTCAAATTCTGTAGATATAAAGCAAGAGACTTGCTAAGTTGATAGAATGAATAGTCAGTAGCTCAAATAGAAAATTCATCACAATCAATTATCATTTGCAACAATTGATGACAATCATCCATAAAACAAATGACAAAATGCTAAACTTGTGGCTCCCTGAAACTTTTTGCTTTTTTTACATAAAAAAAAAAAAAAATCATTAGGGAAAGCATTTAGTTACATCATAGAGAACTATATAGCCAGCATACCTGGTCACCACTAGATCAAACAGATTTACGTCAGAGAGATCACTAAGGATGAGATAAAGATTATCTTCATCCCTTTTATACAATTCCACCCACATGTCGATGAGGGCAGTGACAGGAATTCTATGGTCCTCAGCAAAAGAACCAAGGTCCATGTAACACTCCTTGAGCTTATCATCTAAGGCATCCAAGCTGCTTTGGAGACAAACAAGCAAATCAGTGTTAGAATGGAAAATAGTTGCATCCTGCCATTCCTTCACTCTACTTTTCCAGACTGCTGCAGACCGCCCACAGAGTGATCTACCAACTACAGTAAGGGCTAGTGGAGATCCCTTACAGACTCCCAATATCTGCAATGAATTCACATCAGATCAAAGTTTGCTTTTGTTGTTTAAAAGGCTCAATTTATAGTGCAACGGTCACATTTGTCACTGTACGTTGGCCAATGGTAGAAAGAGTGATTAAACATGCCAAAAACTTCCTAACTTATACTAAAAATGATTTGGTATTCGATACATGAATAATGAGGATAAAAAGGAAAAGGAAACAGACACATATGTGCATGTATGTTTGTACTGCAGATTGACAGAGCACCTTATTGACAAGCTTTTTATCTCCAACGTATGAGTCTCCACCCACTGTATAACGGAAAAGTGTTTCAGCAGCTTCGTCACTCAATGGTTTTAAATTATATTCAAAACCAAGTTTTGGGAATACAGCTCTTGAAGTCACCAAAATCTTGTAATTGGGCAATTGGGACTTGAACTTGTGCAGCATGGATTCTGATCCAGACCAGACATCATCAAGGACCAACAATATGGGTGGTGAACCCATTTCCTTCAACAAACGTTCCAAGTCATTGATTGCATGCTCATCTGTTTGAAACTCACACACATCTTTACCCATATGCTGGATTATTTTCCGTACAATAACCTTCACATTGTGTGGTTTAGAAACAGTGACAAAGAAAATGTTGTCCTTGAATTTTGCTGTTGAAATACTGTGTTAGAATGCTTTTGATAAAAATTCTAATGAAATTAAGTGCCAATTCTACATAAAGAAATTTGGCATAATGGAAAATCAATGTTTACATATTATCTGGCAATATGGCAAAAGTGTCAAGATTTTACATAAAGGCCACCGAGTTCAATTCAAACACAATCAGTATATACATTGAAAAGTTATCGGAGACGATCATTATAAATAAAAATCCACTCCGAAAGAAGAATTCCAACAAAATGTGCAAATTAACTTAACCATAAGGGGCTTAGAAAACAAAAAGAGAACGAGTAATATAAATTGATACCTTCGACTTTTTCATCTTTGCAAAGTTTCTTAATCAATGTAGTCTTCCCAGTTCTCCAGGGGCTGACACAACAATCACTTGCTTGCCATCCCAACAATTCCCTCTTCAACTCCTCCAAGGTACATCTAATCCAGGGGTCATCTCCGGGGATTAGGCACCGAACAAGGTTAATAATTCCATCTCGACTAAACTTGACACCAATGCTTCCATTACTATACATGCGGTGAACGACCTTTGCAGATCTCTCATACCCAGCAGAATTTCTTTGTTGTCTCTGGTCTGTTGTGCTCATATCAACCTGAAAGAACCTGTCCATTAAACTATTCGTTTGATTAGTTTATCAGCATAACGAGTCCTTTTAAGTAATTCCACTTCACTGTTAAGCATCTGCGAACAAGCTGCCCCTTCCTTCATTTCTCAATATCAATTGAGTTTCACTCTTCGGATAATCCAATTTTCATTGTACTTCTCAATTTGTTGGATAACCGAAACATTATTTCCAAAGTGGATTGTAATTGCCAACTGGGGCTTAAAGTTTTTTGCTTTCTCTCTGCTCTAAAACAGCTCTTAGTAGCTCGCCCAACACTGCTCCAACCGCAGCTCCTCCAAGGAAGTCAGCTGCATTCCACACTTCTCTTCAAAACCCAGATACCCAATTCAAGAAATGAACTAATCTCAATTTCAAATGAGTTTTGCAATAGTAAAGAAGAAGAATTAATAATTGGTCCCTTAGATCAAGGTTTTCTTGTTCTCTCTTCTTTACAGTCTCACTTAAAAATAGAAGAAAAGTAGTTTGCCCGGGAGTTACCTCCCTACGTTGTTCTTTTTTCTCTTCTATACATTTACCGGGTTTACCCAAAAAAATCCACTGCTTTTTTTTTAATCGAATAAAGGGGAAAAAAATGTTGAAGTAAAATATTAAAATAACTTCTATAAAATTTAAGTTATTTTTTTATTCTTTTTTAGAAAATATATATTTTATTAACAATTAATTTATCTCATTTAGTTTTTACTTATATCGAAATAACTTTAAATTATCACTACAATACTAATTCAATTCTCATTCCAGACTTATATATTTGTTTGTGTTTAACGTGTATTTAAATTAGTTTAGAATTATGCTTCTTTAAATTTGTGATAATATATAATCGATTTAAAAAATAATCTTTATAATAATTGAAAAATAAAAATATTATTGTGGATTAACATAGATGCAGCGGAAAGTGAATTACTTTCATTGACTTATCACGTATTCTCTACAAAATTGAAGTCTTTGAGTCAGTCTGCTAGTGCTTCGCTAATATTTTAATATTTTCTTACAATCATTCTTTTTGTGGAATTTATGGTAAAGCACTCCCTTACTTTTGCCGACTCGTAAATATGTTAACAAGTTTGCTTGTCCCCAATCCAAAGAAATGATTTTCCAAAAGTTAAAAAGCTTCATTAATTAGTTTATGAGAATCCCCTGCCTTTTACATTATTTCTCCGAAAATTCAATTGTCAGTGGTCACATCTTATATATGAAATTTTATATAACATCTTCGTTTCGTTATGTGTATGAAAATTCTGAAAAACTATCTTTAAGGGGTTTAGTTCAAAAATTATATATTATTGAAAATATTATATTAATGAGAAGATAAATACTTTGAAATTTTAGAAATATTATGTTATATGTTTAATTAGATTGAAATAAATTGGTAAATATATTATATTAATATATTTAATGTTGAAGATAAAAGAATTTGAGAGAAGCTTTTTACTTAGATAAAAGTTTAAAAATTAGCCAAAACAACTCAACACCCATATGATTGTGACCGTCAGCCACCCATGTTAAAGTGTTTCAGTAGCTTCGTCACTCAATGGCTTTGAGGATGAGAAAAATAATTGCGAGGGATTCAAATGGGTTCCATAGTTTTGAGGATGGGAATGTTCTTGTAGTGATATTGGTGATTCAAACCTTCTGAAAATCTAGCAAGTATCTATTCTATTGCTTTGAAACTCCAACCTTTTTCAGCACGATTGTTAGATAAGATTGAACTCGCTTGGAGATTTCTGTCCTCTTCAATGTCACTCAGAAGAATAATTGGGACCAGGTTTGGAAAGGGCTACGATCATTAGAGTTGATTCAGTCTTTTAAAGTTTGTCAGTAGATTAAAAGAGGAAGTTGTGGTATTTCAAGTTAAGAAGCTATAAACTGTTGAATGTAATTGTGAGGGATTCAATGGGTTCCATAGTTTTGAGGATGGGAATTGTTCTTGTAGTGATTATTGGTGATTCAAACTTCCTGAAAATCTAGCAAGTATTATTCTATTGCTTTGAAACTCCAACCTTTTTCAGCGATTGTTAGATAGATTGAACTCGCTTGGAGATTTCGTCCTCTTCAATGTCACTCAGGAAGAATAATTGGTGACCCAGGTTTAGGAAGGGCTCATCATTAGAGTGATTTCAGTCTTTAAAGTTTGTCAGTAATTACAAGAGGACGTGCTTGGTATTTCAAGTTAAGAAGCTATAAACTGTTGAATGTGATGATATTTTGCTGGAAACTAATGAAGATGGTCGTTAGTTGAAGCTGCAAGTTTGGCTATGCTTAGTGGAAATTAATTTTTGTTCAAGTTTCTCTCAGACAAAATGACAATTAACTTCTATATGCTTTATTCGCTCATAAAAACTGGATTGTTGGCTATATGTATGGCTGCTTGGTTATCACACCACAAGTCCAGAATCCATGGATCACCAATTCCAACTTCTCTAAGGAGATATTTTGTCCATATAAGCTCACAAGTTACTTGTGCCATAGCTCGATACTCAAATTCTGCATTTGATCCAGCTACAACAGGTTGTTTCTTACTTTTCTAAGAAATAAGATTCCCTCCAACAAAAACACAAAATCCAGTCATAGAACGTCTGTCTACAAATGATCCTGCACCATTTGCATATGAAAATCCTTCTACTTTACTGTGGCCATGATTAATATAAAGGATCTCACGTCCAAGAGCCCTCTTGAGATATTTCAAAATATGAAGAACTGTATCCCAATGAGGTGTCCTAAGAGATGACATAAATTGACTTACCACACTCATTGAGAAAGTAATATTTGGACAAGTTACTGCAAGATAATTCAACTTTCCAACTTTGCATCTATATCGCTCTGGATCAACAAACACCTCTCCATCTTCAACATTCAATTTTACGTTAGGAACCATAGGAGTATCACAAGGCTTGGCTCTAGTTAGACATGTTTCAGTCAACAAATCTAACACATACTTGCGTTGAGACAAGACAATCCTTCTCCTACTTTGAGAAACCTCAAATCCCAGAAAATACTTTAAAGAGCCTAAGTCTTTCGTGTGAAAATTTGAAAGCCAAAAAGATTCTCAAACTATGAATACCAACACTATCACTACCAGTGATTACAATGTCATCAACATAAACAACAATGAGGAGAATACAGAACTAGATTGCCTATAGAAGACAGAATGATCATAAGCACTTCTATGCAAACCAAATTCAATCACTACATCACTAAATCTCCCAAACTAAGCACGTGGAAATTGTTTCAAACCATATAAAGATTTTCTAAGTTTGCATACCTTTCCAGACTCCCCCTGAGCAACAAACCCTAGTGGTTGCTCCATGTAAACCTTCTTAAGAAGATCACCATGAAGAAAGACATTCTTGACATCAAGTTGGTGAAGGGGCCAACCATAGGAAGCTATAAGAGAAATAAACAACCGAACAAAGGTCATCTTAGAAATATGAGAAAATGTCTACGAATAATCAATACCATATGTTTGAGCATAACCCTTAGCAATCAACTGAGCTTTCAACCAGGCCGCAGACCTATCAGGATTAACATTCACCATGAAAACCCACTTACACCCAATGGTATTTTTGTCACCAGGTAAATCACCGAGATTTTATGTATTGTTATGCTCAAGAGCCAACATCTCTTCTTGCATAGCCCTTCGCCATCCATCACGAGCAACTACTTCAAACACTGAACGGGGAATAGACACGGAATCTAAAGAGGCAACAACCAACTTGGAAGATAGAGACAATGAGTTATAAGAAACAAAAGAGGAAATAGGATAAGTACAAAGGCGCTTACCTTTACGTAAAGCAATGAGAAGATCTAGGTTAGAAGGAGGAGGATCCAGACCCGGGGGCCAGGTAGGTAGTAGGGGCAAAGTCTCAAGTGTATCAGATGCCGACATTGGTGTTAGCGCTAGTGCCACTTGTTGCGGTGGAGGGCGGCGAGAGTATATCTGAGTGATAGGAGGACAAGATAGGGGTGGAGAGCTATAGTGAGTAATGGTATAAATAAGAAAATCATCAATGACTAGAGAAGAAGATGGAATGGAATTGTCAACATAAGGAGTAGTTTCGAAGAATGAAACATTAGCCGAGACAATATACTTACCCAAAGTAGGAGAAAAACAACGATAGCCTTTTTGATACTGTGGGTAACCTAAGAATATACACTTGAGGGATCCAGGGTCTAATTTGGAAAGATGATGGCAAACAACTTGAACAAAGCAAGTACACCCAAAGATTTTAGGAGCGAAAGGGAACAAAGGTTGAGAAGGAAAAAGAATGGAGTAAGGTATTTGGCCAAATAGAATAGATGAAGACATACGATTGATTAAGTAACAAGCAGTAGAAATAACATGTGCCCAAAACTCTTTAGAGACTTTCATATGAAAGAGAAGTGTACGAGCGACCTTTAACAAATGACAATTTTTTCGCTTAGCAACTCCATTTTGCTGAGGCATATACACACAAGACGACTGATGAATAATACCCCTGGTGGACAAAAAAGAAGAGAGAGAGGCAAAAAATTATACTTTGGCATTATCACTTCACAAAATTTTGATAGATGAAGCAAATTGGTTTTGTATCTTAGTATAAAAGGCACAAAATATAGAGAATAATTCATAACAATTTTTCATAAAAATAGCCACGTAACACATGAAAAATCATCCATAAAAGTAACAAAATATTTATAACCATATTTAGATAAAACAAGACAAGGACCCCAAATGTCAAAATGTATAACATCAAAAGGAGCAATAGCTCGTTTATTTTTTCTAGGACTGAAAGACACTCGATGGTGTTTCCCAAATTGACACGCTTCACAGTTAAGCTGTGACATTGACTGTAAACTAGGACATAACTTCTTCAGGATTGGAAGAGGAGGATGACCAAAACAACCATGGAAAAAAGAGAAGGACAAATCACTGGTACCTGCAACATGTGGTGGCATTAGAGTAGAGATGTCATCAAGCATGTACAAGCCACCTGAGACACGAGCCCTACCAATAATCTGCTTTGTTCCAAGATCCTGAAAGATACAATGAGTAGGGAAAAAGTAAACACCACAATTAAATGCAGTAGTGATTTGACTAACAAATAAGAGATTAAAGGGAAAGTGAGGAAGACATAGAACAGAGGAGAGAGACATAGATTTGGTGGGATTACCAGCACCACAACCCATAATTGGCACAGTAGACCCATTAGCTAAAGTAACAGAAGAAAAATTAGAAAAAGGTGTAAATGAGGAGAGAATACTTGTATCACTTGTCATACGGTGCGTAGCACCAGAATCAATGACCCAGTTATGACTAGAAGTAGATACACAAGCTATCAGATTACCTAGTTGAGTTAATGTAGTAACAGTTGACAGAATGGATGACTGGGGGCTAGCAAGCTAAGTATGGCGAGCATACTCATCTGTAGATATAGTAACATGTGAAGGATAGGTAAAATATCATCTTGAGTGGCAACATGAGCATATTTTTGATTGCTTGACATAGTTGGAGGCTTTCCATGTAACTTCTAACAATTCTTTTTGACATGACCTTCAACACCACAATGGAAGCAAGTACGAGGACCATTACCATTACCACGAGTACCCTTGATATCTTGACTGGCACCTTTGTTGCCTTTACCACTATTAGACTTCATGCTAGCAAGAGCCGCATAATCTTGAGCAACATGAAGAGTCTCCCTGTCTTTAGATGCTTCTCTATCATCCCCTTTACTAACCCGAAGAAGACGAGCATAAACCTCTGTTAGAGAAGGAAGTTTATCACTAGTAAGGAGTTGTATCCGAACTATCTAATATTCTGGTCTCAGCCCAACCAGAAAACACTGCACACCACTTGCTCTTCTTGTTCTTTCATTTGCACAACATCTGCAGTCATAGGGAATATAGCTCGTTTTTCCTGAAAGGCTTGCTCCACCTTTGTATAGTATTCTCTTGCATATTTGCTTGATAAATCCACAATAACAGCTCATGAACATGAGACAAGTCATGTTTACTAGCATACAGAAACTCTAGATACTTCTATAACTCTTTAACTGTATCACAATGATTAATAACATCATCCACTGTGGAATCTAGAGTATTCTGGATCTGATTAAACAATTTAGCTTCCTTCATGAGCCATTTCTTCCAAATTCTCCTAACACTCTCTAATCTCTTATCACTACCTTCTGGTTGCTTAACACTCTCTGTTCGTGGAAGTGAATCCGTAGATAGATCCTCAGTCAAATGATCTCCTATGCTAATGCTAGAAACATATCTCCTAACAGTTCGTCTCCATTGAGCATAATTCTACTTTCCCAGTAGATTCCTGTCAGTAATCCTTGCAGATGAGTGAACTGAAATTTCAGTCACCACCTGTTTATCTTCCACTGCCATAGCTTAATCAAACCAACAATGAATTCTCTACTAAGCTCACAGACAAGATCACCTCCAATCACCAATATCCAGCAAACCCAAATCACCAATTCACAACAAATTCACAATTCAAATCGAACACCACAACCAGAACAGTCATAAAATAAACATAAAAAAAAAGAAACACAATAACTAGAAATTGCATAATAATAGAAACAAATCACCAACCGGAAACCATGACTGAAAAACAGGAGACATTACAGACTTAATCACCGGAAAAAGTAACAACCGTTAATAATGTCTTGTGAACAGTGTCATGTTAACAGTGTCACGTGAACAGTGCAGTCAGCCACCAGAACAAAACCATAAGATTGGTGCTTTGATATCATGTGATAAAATATTCTACTGTAGTTTATTCAATTAAAATAATAAAATAATATTACACCCTATATATATTTTCACTACCTTACATTTACACATATACCCCTAACTCTATACACATAACTTCTATAGTAAGTTAATCTTGTGACACCCAAAATTCTAGGAATACTTCACCGCGGAGAAGGAAAAACCTTGTCGTGGCGAAGTTCTGTTTTAGGGCCTGAATTTATGGAACTGCCCTCAGCTTGTCTGTTCACTTGAATCTTTGCTCTTCTTGGTTTCCAGTCAGATCAAGCTTCAAGGGTGCTTCCAATCAACCTCAGAACTTCTCTGATCTTCTGAACTACGATGAAAACTGGGTCAACGAGCTCAATTTTGCTCTGTTTCTCTCCAAAATAGGATTTAAGCCTAAAACATAAAATAGACTGAATTAAGTAACAATTCAAGCCAGAATCTGATGAGAAGTATTAAAAATCCTACTGAAATCATAAGAAAAAAAATATAATCTTAGGATTATCACCTATGTTTAATGTGATATAACTGTAGTTGTTAATAATGTATGGTTGGTGATAATTTGCTTGTAAAGTTTTACTGCAGATTAGGTGCAACACTACACCAAAAGACTTTGTATAAATTCAGTTTGTTTTAATGGAAAAGTGCAGTTCACAACCAACATAAACAATGGGATGTTGGAAGTGATCAACTCTTAGCTGCTTTGGATTTAAGGCTATAATATCTTTTGGGAGAAAAAGATCGATGAGACAATTGAACAGAAGTTGATTAAGATGAGGGGTTACTGTTAGCTTTTTGTAACTTGCGTTCCTCTGGCCATTGCAATCTGATAAATTGATTGGTGGTCATTATTTGATTATATTGTACTATCAAATCTCTTAATTTTTTTATGATCTTCATGCAGATATTATAAAGTACAAACCAAGAAATGATCATGGAGGATATCAGTTTCATTTCCTTTACTCAGCTGGATGTTTTTAATGTTTTTAATTAATTAAGCGGGAATCGCACACGGACAGGTATGACTCTGTCGGAGTCGCACCCACGCAAGTGCGATTTCAGCCGACTTTTTTTATTTTTATGTTTTTTCAGTTTTTGATTATTTTTTTCAAATTTTTATGGGCCTTTAATATTTGTCGAAAAAAATGATTTTCAAAAACTAAAATACTATTCAAATTTGAGTTATATTTTAATATTTGAAAATGTGTCTGACATAAAATTTGAAAATTGTTTTCGGATTAAAAGCTGTAGAAAACTATGAAAACTTTTAGGGTGCGTTTGGTTAAATATTCCTATCCATATTCCCAAAATATTTGTTTGTTTAATTATTTAGGAAATATTAGTATATATTTTTTAATTTTTTATACCCCTTAAGTTTATTAATTTCATTAAATACCCCTAAAAAAAGTTTAAAAATTAATAAAAACACCCCCACCTACCCACGGTGTCAGATTCCGATCACCACCATCGAAATCTGACCGAAAAAGGGCATTACGACGTAGACCGGTCGGATCTGACGGGTCGGGCGTCGATATGGCCTTTTTCGGCCAGATCGACCACGGATCTAGCCGGAAAAGGCTAGATCGATTGGCCGTCGACGGCCAGATCTGGCCGTCAACGACAGCCAAATGTATGGCCATCGCTGTCGATCAACGATGGCCAAGATTTGGCCGTCATTGACCGTCAACGATGACCATTTCTTTGGTTGTCGATGACGGCCAGATCTGGCCGGAAAAGGCCACATCGATGAATTACCGGCTAGTTCCGATCGTTTATAGGCCGTTGTGATAGATTTCAGCTACCACTGACGGTGGTTGCTGGAATCTAGCAAGTATGGGTGGGTGGGGGTGTTTCTGTTAATTTTTAAACTTTTTTTCTAGGGGTATTTAATGAAATTAATAAACTTAAGCGGTCTAAAATAATTTAAAAAAATATACTAATATTTCCTAAATAATTAAACAAACAAATATTTTGGAAATAGGATTGGGAATATAGATAGGAATATTCAACCAAATGCACCTTAATCTTTTTCTGATTTTAAACTAGTTTTTAGGATTGTATTAGGAAACTGTTTTTGAAAAACAATTCTACTTATTTTTACCGAACACATTTTTATAAGATTTATTGTATCCATTGTTTAAAAAAAATAAAATTGTATTTAAATTCTTCATTAATTGGGACCTATATATATATATATATATTTTGGGAATTTTTTGTTTTCTTATTTACAATTTTTCAGTTTTTTTCCTCTTTCGAAAATTATAATTTCATAAAATATATACAATTATGAAATATTGTTTTGTAGTTTTATAATTTTTAGATATTATTATAAATGAAAAGGTTTTTGATTTTTTTTTTTTTTTTTTTTTTTTTTTTTTTTTTTTTTTTTTTTTTTTTTTTTATGGAAAAACATACTTTAAGTGAAATCTTCATTTATAGAAATTGAAGATAGGAGTTTAAGTGGTTAATTCTAAGTTGGTGAAGACCATGTCATTGTTTTGTATTTTAGGGGTTTAAGCGATATTAATCCTATAATATATATTGCGCGAACGGATAAGAATGCCCTTCCACCGTTAATACGTTTGAATTTTTACAATCAATAGGTAAATGTTCTTTTAAAAGATCGCGGATGAGAAAACGTACATTCCTGAAACTTCGGTGGCCAATGGGAATATCATTAAACCTGTATTTTGTTTACTTTTCTTTCACTTTATCATAATGTTATAATCTCAATAGTAACTCATTTTTTTATGTAATAAAGTTTTCAATATACTTTAAATTATTAGTGACACAATTATCTTCAATTTATACCTTTTTTTTTCCACAATTTTATTATTTGCCAAAGTTTATAACATATAAAATATAAAATTACATGACACTCAAAACTTATAACAGGAAAAAATCATTAAATTACTGTATTTAGACTTGTACATGAAGACTTAATTCAAATTTTAGATTTTTTTTTTCTTTTTTCGCATTTCTTTTCATGCACTATATACAAATAAGTACATATCTCCCTACTAACATTATTTAAGTCCAGTTTTTGCTGGAAATCACATTTTATTGAAATACAACCATGATACAATGTTCTTCAATACATAGATGATTCTGCTTCTATACTGTGTAGTAGCATTTTATTTTCTGAGGCAATGATTACATTGTATTGTTCTTTTAACTTGTTTACCTCAACCATAATTTGGATAACAGCAGGCTATTATTCTTTGAAATCCTTCTTGATCTGTGAAGTCCCATGAACCAGCTCAAATGGGGATGGATCCAAATTGGTATGGACTGTACAATTTTCTTCAACCATTAACCAAATGCAAAGCCTTAGTTTGCCGAGATTAAGAATCTACCATAAGCATTCCTTTCATGTACGATTCTGTCCAATTTCTCATCAGTTTGAAATCTCATCTAGAATTTGTGGAGTATCCTCCCATATTAATGTGGCAAATCCATCAACGACTTACTGAGAGAAGCGTCAATTCAAGGAGCTTCTTTGAGTACCTGTACTTCTTACAGTAGTTCCACCAGGCGACGTCCCTTGCGCACCTGTTAATGAGCTCCTCAGCTTGATTCAATTGCAGCATAACTTGCAGATTTCATCCTCCAGATACGATGTGTCTCTTTTAGTTGAGCAATCCTATTGATCCTTGGAGCCAAAGATTCTGGTGGCTCTAAGGTCTTTAAGGATGGACTCAAATTTAATGATCCTTTTTGCTGCCTGCAATAGTTTCTGCATATTCCCTTGACTGCAGCTTCTACAGCAACCTGTGAAATAACTCCTTCGGCCATATTTAGCACATTGTTAGTACTTTAGCCTTTATCTCTCTATTTATAATGAGGAAGCTGTCTATTAGACGTACTCTTTAAGGAACTGACCTGTTCAATTCTTCACTGAATATACTTAGAAACTTCAGAATATCAATACAGTGCTTAGTAAGTAATGTAGATTACTGGTTCTGGTCTTCATTGCATTTGCATGGAAACATCAAATATTTGACAAATTAGGTAGTACAACTGTCCAGCTTATTTGGTCGTCTAGAAACTGTTTGTGGACATTTCTTGCATACGCGTTGGCAGCCTTCTTTGGGGATCTTTAGTGTATCTTTTTCAAAATACTACTGTTTTAGTCCCCTAACTTAATAAGAGCTTAGTTCATTGTTAAATTTGTAGTGAAATGACAAAAATGCCCTTTTTAAAAAAGAAAATATTACACAAACAATATAAATTAATAAACATATTACATACTACAAATTCAAATTAAATAAACTATATAGTTATGAATTCATACACTTTATTAATTTTGATTTTCAAATGTGTAATGTGTAATTTTTTGTTTTTATATATAATTTTATTACCCATTTTTTTAAATGAATTTTTAATCAGTGTTTAATAAATTTAATAAGTTTGAAAGAGGGTATTTCCTTCATTTCAATATAAATTAAATAGTAATTAACCTTTTATTGAGCCAAAGGACTAATATAAGTATTTTAAAATAATAAGGACCAAACTCGTTTTGAAATAATTGTCCTTAAACAATAGTTAAACTAATTAACTCGATCTTCAGTCAGCATGCTGACTGAAGATCAGGATTATGAAATTGAACAGAAGAAGATACGATTTTCTAATGATTGAGAGAGCTAGTAATTGCCACATGCAATTATCTCAATCGTCCCACATGAGACTATTAATAACAACATAATTCTTCTGACATTTCAGAAGATCGTTGCAACAAAAATCCTTCTTTGACAATGGATTGATTCAAATATTAAGAGATTAATCCAGTATTGTATTTAATTTCATGGAGGAATTAAGGTGGTGATGTTCACATGTCAGCAAAGCACTTTTTCTTGCTCAAATTGTAAGAATTTGTACCCTTTGGGAAAATTACCATCCCTTGAAGAACTACTATATCTTGCTAATTCATTCAAATATTAATTTGATTGATTGACATAGAATTTCCTAATGAAGAAAAAGGCTTCAAGAGGCACCAATTTATATTAAGAGATTTGACAATACCTTACCTATATACGACCCGAAAAGTGATTACATTAATAATTAATATTAAAACGCTAATTGTACTTGGTCATCCTAGAACTGCCGGATTCATTCAAGCTCTGTTGTGTTGAAATATTTTTTTACTCCAATTAATACGCATTATTTATTTATTGGATGTTTGCAGGTCTAGCAACTAGAAAATAATCAATTAGATAATGTTGTTGGTTGTAAGTACAAGAAGAAATTGATTTTTGCATAGAATGTTTATGATTAAAATTTGAGGATATATTCCTCGGAGGAACAATATAATTATTGGCTTATTCACCTTTCCAGACTTTTGCTTATTTGCTTATAGGCAAAATGTCTACTTACTGTCAATATTAATTTCTTACCTTATTCTATAAGGTTCGTTTCAGACTTTTGGATATATTATTGAAAAAATCTTAAGGTCGAATTTACAACTACTAATAAAGGATAGCCGCTAAAGGCTTAATTGACTATTAACTTCAAAGTTTCAAGAAATTAGTTGAAGTACGTGCAAACTGATCCGGATTTCTTGAATACCAAAAAAAAAAAAAAAAAAAAAAAAACCATCACCAACAGTCACGACCTAACATGTCAAACTAGAATGTCGTTGTCCGATGACTTTGATCGGCATATAACGGTTTGACGATTTTTTACTTTTTGAACTTTCAAAATTTAACATAATTAAATTTTATGAGGTTTTAAAAAAAATTAATTTTTTTAAATAAAATAAATTAAGTTTTCAAAAAAAAAAAAAAATTTGAAAAGTAAAAAAAAAAGGAAATTGTTTTCTATTTCATCAATATTCTTTGTTACAAGCAAATAAATAATCTTATAATATTTTGTGTTGATCCAAAAATACACTAACTAGAGTGATCAGATCAACTTTGACGGGATCGAAGCTGATTTGTGCTTGATTACGGATAATGAACAATGTATAAACGGTAAAATGCAATAAAGAAAATGGCACAATCTGTTTTTAAAGTGGTTTGGTGAGTTATACTCTTGAGTCTCCACTGTTTTTGTATTTGTTGTGAAAGCTTACAATAACAATCATAGAATAATTTGTTAACCCCTTTCTCGTCGTTGGAGGGGGTTTATATACAGATTTTGTACAAAGAAAATAGCGAAAATAAAAAAATTATAATTAAATTTGAAATGCAACTACGATATTCTTGCGATTGAGCGTTGTGATTGCGCAAAGATTACTGTCGATATGATCTTTTTCGAGATATCTGAGATCTGAAGTTATCTGTGAGTTAGTTAAACAACTGTAAGGATTGGTCACGACTAGCTTATGCTAGGTTGAGGTACGACTCGATAAGCTTATACTAGGTTAGACAATCAATTGAGTCGAATTGGTTCTGGATCGAGCTACAAACTTGCAATTTTTTGAGCTTGAAGGAAAAATCACACACAACATTTTGAATCCATTAATTTTCATTCATAATATTTTCATTCTATCTATTTCTAATTACAAATTCTCATTCCATTTATTTTCATTCACAATACTTTCATTCCATCTATTTCTTATCTACAAACCAAAAATGTCTTAGTTCACCATCGAGTGATTACGAATTCCTAGATAATTCATGTCACCAAAAGATTTTTTCTTTTACATTTACATCAAAATATCCATTCTTAAATAACTTCAAGAGGTCGAATGATATATACATCTTGCTTCAGCCATGCTGTGATCTATAATCTAAATAGCCAGTCCAAAATCCCTCCGCAAAAATGAACGGGAATTTAAAAATAATTATAATAATAAGAAGAAAATCCTTTTGTCCAATAAAAAAGGGGAGTTGAACCCGACGTGAATCGAACACGCAACCTTCTGATCTGGAGTCAGACGCGCTACCATTGCGCCACGGATCCACGAGATGAGTTATCCATTCTTTAATTAGATAAAAACGATTAATACTTTGTGGCAGCAGATTTACATAGACTTAGATTAAACTTTAAGGCCCAGGAAAAAATAGCACAGCATTGGTGTAATTATTAATATCAAGGTTTGATTTAAGATATATTAGCAACTGACAACATTCTTGTTTTTTTTAAATTTTAATTAGTGCAGTTGCTAAAAAGCTACCAATTTCATTAAGGAGATTGTATTATACACTACTCTTGTAAAAAAGATTTTACTTAATCTTCTTCTCCTTCTCTTCTTTGACAATCTTGTTCTTCATATTCTTGATTACCTTGTCGTCAATCATGTCATAAAATCTCCTGGACTTCACTTTCAGGCACTCCCCACCGCTTTTTATTTTATCCTCGTACTTTTTATAACTCACTGGAACTGTCATGCCCATCATGACACCTGCAAATTAAGAACACCAAAAACCACATTTATAGAAAGAATTGTGTATTGAATTATTTATAGGATCGATTGTGTTAGTTGTTCAAAGCAAGAGAGTACCTATGTAAAGAAGTGTAAGCAGAGAGAAGACGGTTCCTACATAGGAGAGCAATAACAATCCAGCAACTACTTGAACAAACACAAACCACCCTCTGTCAACACTCACATGGAACATCCATTTCAGTACTTCTTCAACAATTCCTCGACATGCATTCGCAACCTCCAAAGCTGACTGCTCTGAGATTTCTAGTCCTGACATGTTTGGTGGCACTCTGAAACCAAAAGTACACCAAAACCATGAAAGAGAAAACAACTATTAAAGAGATTATTAGACATATATATAAAACCTGTCTCACTTACTTGCCGAGAAGTTTCCGTATGTTTCCCCATAGGAAGAGTAAAGTAGTAATGGCCATGGCCACCCATGAAACAACAGTGACAAAGTTAAAGTGATAGACTTCAAGCAATACCCAAATTACTGTTGACGTGAGGAAAACGCTTAAACTCAGATTCTTTCTTCTCCATAGGAATATATCTCTCCAAACATCTGGATATATTAATTAGTAAGATTGAAAGTTATTTAATTAGTTATCAAACTCTTGGCCTTAATGTGCTATATACAGGTAGCTTAATTAAATTACCTGACGATATGACTGGGGCTGTAGGTGAAGATGATTGTTCTGTAGCACTAGCATCCATACTGAAAAACTATACGAAAATGAAGATGAACTCTAGTTGGAGATAAATTAAAAGTATTGTTCAGTTCCTGTCCGAAAGTTTGGTGCGGTATGTTTAATCTAGGGTGAGGGTGAAGGTGAGAGAGGACAATAAGGTTTACACGTGTGGAATATAAGGTTACGTGGAGGCCATGCAGTGCTCGTACAGCACAGGTGGTATATTATTCTTATTTATATGAAGTTGAAGGTACGTAGTCTCTTGTCGTGACTGGTGAGAACTCAAATCTTAAATCATGATTCCCACCGCATTTAGATATAACAAAAATGAGTGACACACGGAATGGATCTACCTACATTCATTCCACATTATGTGTCATCTCCCTCATCGGATAATAAAGTCTCTTGTAATAGTGTAAGATGTATGTGTTTTTAAAAAAAAAAAAAAAATTAAAAAGAGAATTAGTTTATTTTGTATTCAAGTAAATTGGTAATTACAAGTATTGGAATATTTGGTAGAAATAAAGACAGTCATTTAAATGCTAATGCTGAGTCTAAAGGTAGTACAATAAGAAATGATAAATTTGTGGTACAGTAAAACTTTTCTATAGTCATAATATTAGGATCAACTAAATTTATTACTATAAGGAGGTTATAACTTAATAGAGGTGTAGTTACAAGAATTATTGTTTTGATTCAAAAATTATTGTTCTGATTTTTTATTTATAATTTATGTTTTAGTATTATTAGGATTTTAATTCATTATTTTAATAGCATTAGGATAATATGAAAATGGATATCAAAGAGTCATGCAAGATTGAGTGATCAGATTTGACAACTTTACTACACTAATCAAATGGATATTAATGTCTTCATTAATCATCGAAATGAGTAATAAGTTGTGTATGTTTTAATTAAAAAAGAAATTAATCATCATTGAAATCAAACAAGAAGAGAAATGAGATGATTCTAAGGATGATAGTACAGAAATACCAAAAGTTTAGTGCCAAAAAGCTTTAAACATGCTTGAGAGCTAAAGATATTTTGACTTCAATAAAAGATGTAGTAACAACTCTAAAGCATAAATAATATTTTCAAACAACTTTAGATAAATATTTTATTTTATCTTAAACCTTTAATGTAATATAACATATATGTTTTACAGTATACATATAATTATTACTATGTAGAGGCAAGTTCCTTAAGACGAGACCTAATAAAATTATAACTTATTACAATACGAAATTTATTCTTATTTATAATTGCCCAAGTTGGAACTGAAAGTTTTTATGACTACATGGAGGTTATTCCTATATAAAGTATCACTATAGAGAGTTTTTATTGTATTTAAATATGATAAAGTATTATAACACAAATTTTTAATACAAATATGTAACACATATTCTTATCTATTGATTTAAGACAATCCAATGGCTTATAAGTTATTGACTTATAGCTATTTTTAACTTCTCCTTTTCAACCATTAGATTGTTTTAAATTAATGGACAAGGATTTGAATAATAAATTTGTGTAAAATTTTGTATTAAAATAACCTAACCCAATATTATGTTATTTTACCTCTTGTTCTAAAATGGCTCCCCCTACCTTGTTTATCTCTTTTCTTAAATGAAATTTTTATTAAAATCAATTGGATGTAAGTTTAAAATTACATCTTGAAATCTTTACTTATTTAAAATATTGTGTTGATGTGATAATTCGTACCAAGCAGAGATACCCAGCCAGCCTCGGAAGAGACCAGGTAAGATGTACGCATGGTTATTGGTAACCAACAAAGTTGTTAAAACGACGTAACAAAATAAAGAACAAAAGAGATTTTATAGTGGTTCGACGGTATGAAAACCAAACCTGCATCCACTGTTGGGTTATTATTGAGTGATGTTACAAGATTGAATGAGGTTATAGAGGGAAACTCACGAGATAAATGAAGGACATTCAGCTCTCGCGGCCTATTCTCTTTAAATTCTCTCTAGAACATATCAATGTATTTTTCTCTTTGACTTTATTAATACTGGAATCTCTTGGAACGGAGGTCGTGGGCTCTTTTTATACTTGACTTATCTGACAATGGTTGTGAGTGGGTGTTACGGGATTGCTTGCACGCATAACCCCCTTAATTAGGATCTGAGTCAGTAATCTCCATGTTTGTAACAGGTCGAGTCATGCTAATGACAACTTAACCCATACTTTTGACAGTAATCACCTTGAGAGAAGATAAACACTGATGAGACGACACGTGAGAGGATCCAAGCCATTAGCCTTCGACACACCTTGAGGATGCATGGCACAAATCTGACCGCCAATAAATTGTAATGTATTGATAGATGGTATGAGTCATGTGATACCTTGTAGTATCAATAGATGTCCTCAAAAGAGAAATACAAATATCATGCAATATACAATTTTGTTCTTACTCAAAATAAAGATGCAGCTGGTTTTGAACTTTGAAGAACAACAGTCGTGAAAATCTCTCCATAGATTCATGAACACACCTGAGTTGAGGCCCAATAGACGTGATTTTATCCAAGTCTGTTTATAACGAAGAGGGCCTTGCTGCAGTTTTTTCATCAAACCCAATCGCTGAAGAATCGGGGCCTGGCATTTGTTAAACCGGGCCAGTGCAGTGTTGAGCTCTCTTTCCAAAGTGACTCAACCCATGGAAAAGTATGGCCATTATGAAAAGAGAGATAAAGAGAAGTATACAAAAAAAAAAAAAAAAAAAAAAAAAAATATTAATAGGACAAGGTAAAATAGAAGGGTGAAAATGATTAATCTGACTATGGAAGCAAGTAATAAGAGAAAATGGCCCAATCCTGATGATGTATTTTATTAAAATTGATTAGGTTTTGGAGCAAACATCATAATGAACATCACTTTTTAACTAAATTTCTTCCAACTACCATCCTAGTAAAAGAGAAATGAGAAAGCAAAATGTGTAAAGTGATTCAGTCATTCCAATTCCAAAGGCTCTCTTCTCTCCTCTCCTCTCACAACGGACAGTTTCATACAGTTCATAAGAGCATCTTCAAATAATTCTTTATATTACTCAAACTCTTTATTATAAAGAGTTTATCCATAAAAACTAGAGTCCAATAGATTCTTTATTCTTTAAATATAAATTAAAGAGTGAGTTTGACTTTCTATATTTATAAAGTCAAATTTCACTCTCTATCCCTATTTTATTTAATAAATTATAAGTTTTTATAGATTTTATTAGAGCATCTTCAAAAAAATTTTTATATGCTCCAAACTTTTTATTACAAGGAGTTTGTAAACAAGAGTTCAATAGATTTTTTATTCTTTAAATATAAATTAAAAAGTGAATTTGACTTTCTATATCTAGAAAATTAAATTTCACTCTCTATTCTAATTTTATTTAATAAATTACAAGTTTTTATATATTTTATTATTAATTAATAAGAGAATAAAATATATATGGGATGAGTAATTTAAGGGTAGAATTAGAATCTCGATAACAGAATTGAAAGGCTAGGTGGGGACTGGGGCGGTGAAGGTGAAGGTGAAGGTGAATCACGCGCAAACAACCCAAAGCCATACTGGCAAAACGTGTGGGACCTATTCCTGTCTTAAAGTCAATACCCATTATCCAAATCACCAACATAACACGTGACTACCCATTATTAACTTTTATTCCTATTGCTTCTTTTCTTATATGGAAAAGCAAAAACAGTTAATTAACAGCCTGGACTAACTAATTCACTCTTTATTTATTATAATTAGTTATTTTAAAAACCAAAGTATTGAATGTACTAAAAAAAAAAAAAATTTTTTGAGCGAAAGGGTAGGGGGTGATTATAGAAAATAAAAAAACAAGGAATACATTGGATTTATATATCTTACAACAAAATGACCATAATTATTTTGCCCTTAATTAATGAACAAACATGTCGGTTGACTAGCCAATTGTGTGAATATTTTGATAAGAGAGAAGCCAAGCGGTTGTTTGGGAACACATCTCTTATTTTGTATTAGTTAGGTTGGATTATTGATTGATTTGATTCCATGTTAGTTTGTATTGAAAATTGGCTGACCAAACTTCAATTAATTCAAAAAACTTCTACCTGGACAATTGGACACTTATAATTATTATTGAATGGCTTGAAAGTAAAACAGTAAAGGGATCCAATATAGATTCTTGAGTTTGAGTCTCGTACTAATAGAGATAACTATTAAAAGGTTATGGGAGATTAATTGAAATACGTGTAAATTAGTCTGAACGATAACCAAAAATAAAAATAAAAATTGGATACTTATATTTGACCCATTTACAATATTGTCTTTAGGGTTATATACCATCAAGTAATGACCTAAAGTATCTAAATTTTTGTTTTAATTGTGATTACATGTTAATTCTTTTGTTTTAACAATAACTTTATACAAAAATTCGCATTTATTATTTTAAGACATGGGGATAATTTTGAAGTCGATTTTATGTCCATATGTGGACTACGGTCTAAGACAAAAAGTGACACATTTCACGAGGTGCGGCTATATATATATTTGAAATAATAATAATAATGCAGAAATGTTTGAATCATTGTTTTTA